ACCACCACAATCGCATCGCAGAGCCAGAAACAGCCGTGGGGCAATAAAACTTGACGCCACCGACAGCAGCAGCTACTTCGCCCCATGGGTCCTGCAGACGCATAAAAAAGCAAAACTTTCCTATTACTGCCACATGACCATATAGTCATATACCATACCATACCATATACCCGACTCTCCCCAAAAGCATTCCCTTCTACCTCATACGCACTTACATTTCAAACCCATAAACTGTCATGTAAAATCCCAGAAACTTTCATTTGCAATTTGCTTAAAGTTTATGCAATAGATGCGCCACAATAAAAAGTTCGCCAAGGTGTATGGACCATAATAAACCCGGAGTCGCAAACGAAGCAAAAAAGTCTTTTTTCATGTTACGACAATCGATGTTGCTGTGGAAAAACTTCAATAAAAATAAAATTTGAAAACAAAAAGTACTTTGAAATATATAAAAGTAGTAGGGAATTCCCAAGGAATACAAAATAATGTGAGCTGAAAAAGAGCATGTCAAGAAAATAAATAAATGAAATCCAAAATCTTCACTTTAAAAAAGTTAGAGTAAACTATTTTTTAAATATTAACAGCTAAAAAGCGAAGGTCTATTTGACATAAAAGTATTTCTTACGTACAAGTAAATATTTAATTCATCAGTTCAGTAAGCCTCTTATTTGCCGACATAAACGGTTATTGGATTGTAAATATATTTGTTTCGATCCCAGTTTTAAAAGCGAGTTTCCACCCACAACAATGCCGCACATGTGAAAGAAAAATACTCTTTCAGCTTATTCAACTGTAGAAAGCTTTATGACGTATATAAAATATAAAAAATGAATAAAGAATGCCAGCTTCCAATCAATTTCAAAGTCATTTGTTACAAATTTTAAGTGCAGGCCCAGTCTTAATCAAAATTAAGTCCCATAAAAAGAACAACGACAAAAACTTCTTATCGCCACCCGCCATGTACACGGTTAAAAACAGGAAGTGCTTTCGCTAAAGAAAATGGGAAAAACCAGAATAATGCGGGGTGGTAAATCAGCAATGAGCAAGTAGGTAATGTGCCTTCATATTTCAACGTCACAACGGCATCGTCATCATTTTTCTGCGGCCAACGCAACGGCGATGACATCAACAGTTCTGCATAAATTTGCACCCGATAAAAATTTCAAATGTTTTCATCAAATCATTTTCGGTGAGCAGTGGCGGCAGCAGCAGAAATTCCCGAGTATTATTTTTTGGGAGGAGTGAGATGATATGGAGGGGTCTGGGATCTGGGATCCGGGGTCTAGTCGTCATCCATCATTAATGGAGCGAACGAGGGCTGAAGGAGTTGAAATGGCAACTAAGCGCCACGGGCTACTGCGGAAAACGTGGGGTCTGGAAAATTCAGGGGGGCTGGGGAAACGGAAAACGGGGTCTGGAGCTGAGAAACGTTGACGATGACATTACTTTTTAATGACTTTGACTTTCTGCAGCAATTGGTGTGCGTCTGGCACTCTGATGCTTGAATACCCGTACTCGCACCGCTCTTGTTTCGTTTTATGAGCCTCATTGAAGACTGGGCGTTCGCTCGGATTTTATATTTGCCTTTTATTTTTATTGGTCCGTTTTAAATTTGCTCCTCTTTTGTTGTGCTCTGATTTCTTTCTTTCCCGCAAACACATATTTCGTGAGTTATATCAAGAGAAATAAGGAATGCTTAATCAAATTAAAGGCTGACAATATTTTTTGTTGTACTGCTTTTAAAATACATTTAAGAGCACGTTGCTATTTCTTTTTCTAACATGAAAAACTTTTATGTATAAAATAAATAATTTTTAATCATATTAACTTTTCCACTATTAACATTAATATAGGCAAAGAAATGTAATATAAAGAATTTTATGAATCACGCAGGACTATCACAGTCACTATTTAATACTTTTTTAATTCGCCGCTTTTTCTACAGTACTTATTTTTTTCCAACATATTATATAACATTTTTTTCATAAAAAATATACTTCATAAACGAAACTTTTTATAAATCCCTGAAAAGCGAAATGAAAAGGGATATTTGGTTGCCAAGGCTCTCCGTTGTAATTAAAGTGTATTCGGGAGCGCTTAAAAATGTCGGCCAATTCATGTTGTAAGTTTTTGTTCATATTGCGCCACGCCACGCCCCCATTGTCCGCGTTACGCCCACTTTCAGCCCAAAAGACGGCCGCTTTTTTGAGTCGCAGCCCGAAACCGCCGACGGCTGACGGCTGCCAATATTCATATAATATTTTCACTGTGAAATATTTTCTGCTCATAAAAGAAAATTGACTGCGAAAATTGTTTTTACCGAGGCGGTTGCAGCCCAACTACCTCCTTCCAGTTTCCAAGCTTCAGTTTTGCGGGCGTACAGTGTACTATAGTACGTATACGCAATGTGTATGTGCTTTGTTTACTTTTTTTGCGTGTGCATTTTTACGTTTTTATGCGTTATTTTGCATGCATCAGCGCGTTATTAAATTCCGCGCTCCACAAGGAGCCAGCATCCGGGGATCCTTCGTCCTCTCCTACTGGCGTCTCATTTAACCGCAAGCTCCTTGCCATAAAAGCCAACAAGAATAACACAAGAAACATATACCACAGCACCGCCCCCGAACCGCCCCGCCCATCAAATTCGGCACATTGTTCCGCCTTGAATACGCAATTGCTCTGTTTGCTCGCTCGTATAAATTCGCAGCACTTCGCGGATTTTTGCATCAGCATCCGGAATGCAAGACACGCGTTTTCGCCAGCGCACGATTATGAACTTCGATACTTGTCACCTGATACTCGGAGCATACATCCTTCTGACTTATGAGGACTCTTAGTGACTAATCCCGTCTGAGAATGGCTGAGAGGAGTTGTCATAAAACCAAAATATATAGGATTGGGTTATCTTTCATCGAAAGTTTTTACCGGTAAGCTATAAAATATTTTATAAGGCCTTCAATAGTGCTCTATTTACTTTGTTGATCTATACTCACCCTAGAATCCATTTAATTTAGAAAATAAATTATGAAACCAAAAAAGGACCTTGCGATACAATAAAATATAGCACACTTAATGGTTTCGATAAATAATAATTAATTTTTAAAGTACTGTAAATCGTGAAAATATTTTAATTGCTTCGTGCGAAGCGTTAATAAATATGCTATGCTTTTTATATCCTTCCGACTATATTCTTTAAACTGTTTTTTAAAAGAAAAACTCTTAGTAACGGTTCCTTTTCATACCAGTTTATTTCCAATCTATATTGTTTTCATAAAATATCAATATCAATAAATCATTGTTAAACATGACCTGTATTCATGTCCGACACTTTCTGGCATGTAAATAGAAAAACATTGTTCTGTACCGCTTTTTTACTGCGATGGCTTTTGAATCATTCTCGTATCCAGTTACTTTTTTTAATAAATGAAAAGAGAAAGTACAAACTGTGTGAAGTGACTGATAATATGATACCGGAAAATATCTCGTTAAAAATTGTATTTCGCACAAAAATGGATTTATCTTTCAAAATAAATAAAAAATGAATATAACCTTTTTTGAAGTCTTCTTTTCCACAATTTTACATTTTTAAAATCAGAGACCTAACATTTTGTTGACCGTTATTTCAAACCAGTATGTTAAAGTTTGACTAACATCAACATATCCTTCTGTCTACAGTTGAATGTAAGCACCACCCCGCTAGTACCGTTAACCGTTAGCACAGTTTTCCCCATGTCCTTGCGTTAGCAGACTGTTAAGGATGGGGTGGCTCAATGTTATGTACAGGACATTGTAACAGCCGGCAAATGTAGACTTGCAACTGTTAAAACCGCTGTAAAATATGAGGGTGGCATTAATTGTTTTTTCCAACAAAGTTGTTCAAATATTAAAAAACTTAAAAGATTAAAATAAAAAAACATTTCGCAGAGATATCGGATAGTATATTCGTTAAAATTTTTTTAACAACCATTTTTTAATGACCAGTTCCCCCAGTTTTTCCTATAAAAAACTCTAAAGGTAAAAAAAGTGCATTAATAAACTGCCATATTTACATTCCAGCTAAATCCAACAGCTTGTTACAATTTAATTGCCTTCAATTTCCATTCAAACCGAGATCAGGGTGATGGATGCTCACCTTTAAACCTGCTAGGCAAATTTGCAATAAATACCTGTTTCAGTGTACCTCGATAAACACATGCAATGCAATTCATCATTCAGCCAAACACACACACGGGGATGATCTGGTGTCGGGAGATGGGGATTTTCCAGGGGGTTTTCAGGCGGTCGGGGAGATGGGATATTGGAATCTTTTGAAAGGACGAGGACCGCCGCCAAAACGTCCCATTAACAGGAGCTCAATGCACAAAAAGTCAGATCCTATGGCTGATGGCTGGAGCCAAAAAGCGAATGTCAACACTATCAATCATCGCTTTGACAGTTTGAGTGCTTGTTTTAGTATTTGTGCTTTTGATTATGTGACTCACACACCCGCACACTCGCATATCCAGCACACACATGCAGGCGCATCAATTGATACACTTACAACAAATTGTTTGTAGTGGAACACGTGGGCGTTGCCCTGCGGACAGGATTGGATCGGGGGATATAGGATATATGTTCACCCAAAGGTAGGTGGGTTTGGGGCAGGACCACTTGATTGATGGAGCCACCGACCTAAGCCATTTTAAATGAACAAATTGAATGTGCAGAAGCACACATGCACGGCTACAGCGGAGGTCATTGGGATAGGAAGTGGAGTTTAATTTAATTTTCAATTTTATTACCGAAAAAATAACTTCAAAAGGAGCTCAAAAGTATGCAGTAAAAAAAACACTTCTTTGAAATGAATCTTCAGAACTCACTGCATACTTTTAGGTACCTTCAAAAGAGATTTTCAAAACACATATTTATTATTTATAAAAATGTATATTAATTTCTCACTGTAATTCTTGCTCAATTGCTATTATTCTCCCCCCAATTGTAAGTTTGTGTCTGCGGTTGCCTGCTGGTGATTATAGTAATTTAATTTCTTCGAACAACAAAACAAATTTGCAACAAAAAATCCAAAGCCAAATGAAATCCAAAAACGGAATAAAAAAGAACGCAGAAGTAGGGGAAATCCCCCAGGTCAACGGGCGGAAAGTGCAAATGGGTTGGGTCGAGCTCGGAACATGGTTAGTTGGCGTTGCTTTTGGTAAGCTTCTCGTTCCGCCCGTTGGCGCTGCTCCTCCAAATCCCGACGCTTCGACTCCTGCACCTTGGAATTCTGCACGTTGAAGAGACGACGCTGCTGGACACGCAATTCGGCGGACAGATTGAAGGGCTCCACTTTCACTCTCAGCTGAGAAACCGAAGACGGACGATTCGACGGCTTCAAGGGCTGTCGACTGCTCTGCGGAATGGGTTTGGCTTTCGGAAACTGCTTCCTCTGCATTTTGCACTTCTCCTCCCGCTCCTTCTGCAGCTGTAGGACTCTTAAGCGACGTTTCTCTTCCATATCACGCGAATTCTTCAGCACATTGGGCGTCGTGGGACAGGTGATTCGATGCACGACTGCCTTGTTGGCCTGGCGTTGGTGCACCTGCCGAAAATCAGGCATCGGTCGGCTGTGAAACTCACGCAGTTTACGCTCCTGCTCCTTGCACTCCCGAATCAGCTGATCCTTGCGACTGGAATAGATATCCTTGAAGCGATAGGCCTAAGGGTAGGGGAAATTAAAAAAACTGGTTTTTATAATCAAATTATAATATAATAATACATAATTTCTAGTAAACCTGTTTAATAAATAAATTAAATAAATGTTTAAATATTATTTAAATCCCAAAAAATGATTATCATATTAAATACCAGGGACCTAAATAAAATTATTTTGTTATTTTGAACAATAATGTTATTTCAATTTGTTGAAATGCAATGCACAAGAGTAAAAAAAAATATATTATCATTAAATAACTTTTTTGGGTTAAATACTATAAAAGTATTATCAAAAACCCTACCTTGGGAGCCGTTATTAGAGGTGGAAAAATGGGCTTCTCACATCCAACCTTCAAGCCCTTGAACAGATTAGCGACCAATATCTGGGAATGCTGCTGCGCCTGGCTGACAATCAGGCTGCCACGTCGCTGGATCTGCTCCACCTGCTCCCGATGCTGCTGAAGAGTGGGGAACTCCTCGCTGGCAGTGAGGAAGATGTCCCCCTTGCTCGACCACTCGGACATTTCGGATGCAAAGCCCTCCAACTGCTGCACATCCAAATCGCCCCAGTTGTACTCCGCTTTCGAATCCGACATTATTATTATTACGTATGTAGGCACTAACTAATTCCTGGATGTGCTCCGTGCTCTCGTTGATGGCAGTTAATGTCGAGTGGCTGGAATTCCAGTTACATTCAATTATCAGCCTACTCGGAGCCCGGGTTTCAGGTGAAAATGTTTTGGGCATTAGTCTAAATTTCATTTGGACGTGCTGGTTTGAATAATGCAAAGTATTCCGACTGACACTTGGTTCTGAATGGTCGGGGCTGTCGGCAGCTTCCGCTCCCCAACTGGATGATGCACTTCCAAACGGAGGGCGTGCCACCCCCTCCTCCTGCTCCTCAGTCGATCCTGTCACTTTCCTGTCCAACCGTCTGTCCCCGTCTGTCCAGGACGTCTATGTGGTGTCAATTTGATTGCAAAGGTAATTCAAATAATCTCATCATACACAATCTAGCTGTGTTTCCTGCCCGGCCCGTCATGTTCCTCGGTCCCCATCCGAATCACAGTCGCCGTCCTCCCTTCACTTCGACGACAACTTCAAAGCGAGCACTGCAAATAAATCAAATTAAATTTAACATTTTTGCTTTTTATTTCGCCTCGCTGTGTGTGGGAGAAATTTAATTTGCAGCAACTGATTTCGTTGGATTTCATTAAAAAGGTTCTCTATAATTAAATTGATTAAGAGATGGAATATAAAAGTGCGAAATGTACACATATATTTTAATCCGGCCCAGCTAATGACGGCGCAATACCGGCTTTTGGCATTCGACCAAACAGTTTGAAAGCGCAGTAAAATAGTTTGTTAATTGATTTCGTTTGATGGGATTCGCATAGTTTTATAGAGTCAATTCAGGCTAAATATGTAATTTAATAATGAAAACTATGGGGAAAACAAACAAATAAATATCTGAAATGTAAGCTTTGACCAATTATAAACAGAAAATAAATTTACCAGCTTATAAAAAAGGTTTCCCATGAAAACACCATGAGTAATTAGTGAAAAGTGTCGCTTCTTATGTTGCCATTAGGAGTAATATTTCTTATTTATCAATGTGGCTTTCACACTACCCCACTGAGGGCTGTAAAAGTTGGCTAATCTAGCACGCTTTTTGATTAACCACAACAAGTTGTCCAGAAGTTTGTGGCCAGACATGTGCCATAATATAATCCACTCCAGCTGAGTCGGAAGCAAATCACCCGTCCTGATTAGAACTATGTAAATACACATGTTTGCTGGATCTGCGAGGGTTCCCCCTACCATAGCCCCACACATATGCTGGTAACTTTTTAAAAGCCCCGCCAGATAGCCGACATTGCTTACAAAATAAAAGTTTCGCCTTATATCTCAGATAGACATTAGTAAGGCGAAAAGTTAACAAAGGGGCGAGCGAGTTAGGAGTACTGGGAAAAACTTACCGACTGATAAACGTGCCTCACAAACAGAAAGAGAGAGAAGTTGAGATCAAAAGTTATACCCGAAACTTGCCGCAAAACAAAAACTCGTTCTTCCTATCTCTGCGATAATTGCTCCTTTAACTAGAGAATTTTTTTTCCTTTGCCCCCATTTCAGCAAACCCAACCCCTGATTAGTTTGTAACTAGGATGGTGGGGCCCTGGGTCTTTGTGTATTATCTTTCAGTTTGCAATTAGTGGCTCATTTAAAAGAGATTTGCAGCAGCGACTTTTGCTGATTGGTTTGGGTCCGGTTTCGATAGGCGGGTCAAAGGTCCCGTAGCTCTCACAGTTCCCGGAATGATTGAAATTTGAGCCTGAGGGGGCGAAAGGGGGGTTTGTGGACCGTAACAATGCCATCCATGCGAACAGGTTCGCATCCGTGCAAAACATTAAACGCTACGACTTTTCCTGCTGCCCACATTCTTCTCGAATCATTTAACCCGAGCGCAATTTTCATAAAACGAAATTATTAAAATTGTTTATTCGGGTCCGTCGTGTGTGTGTGTCGCTGCTCCCCTTGGATGCGCACATTCTGCCGCACAAAAACATTATTATTGAGCAGTTAACTATACTGAAAAGCAACTTTAAATTAAATGGAAGAGTGCCCCGTGAAGTCGAAACAGAAAATGGTTATGCCGTTTTTAAGCGTTCATTGCAGTTGATATAATCCATTCTTTTTACGACGAAGGCGAATGGGCTGAAAATATTTAAACCTAAAAAAAAAGAATGTTACCAAAAACATTTTTCCAGCAAATAGAAAAAATTAAATCGCAATTCTTGGCTAAATTACTTTTAATTTTATTTGTTTCTGGTATTTCTAGCGAATTATTAAACACTGCGGTTTATGCATTTTTCACATTATTTAGGCCACAAATCTTTTTTGGGCACTTTCAAGTGGAGCCGTTTTCCGCCACATGACATTTTACATGCCGGACCAAATGAATTGCGAATTTATACATATCGATATGCTTCCAACAATCCAACAAAATCAAACAAACGCAATCCAATTGCGGACTTGTAGCACCGAAATGAAATGTGTCAGGCCATCAATTAATGAATATATGCGACAGCGACCGTATTGTCAATCATAATTATTGATTGTCCATTACGAGCTTAATTTATGCATACCAGACGAAAAGTGTTCGTGCTGAAAGGCGGTAAAGAATCGATTAAAATGTTTGTTGGGGACATCAATTCCGCCAGAAATAGGAATATTGGCACTCCCTCTTTCCTAGTCTAAAGGCTGATTCGTGAGGTGTTGACATTAGAGTATCTATTTCGGATATTTATGATATTGCTCTGCCCGGATTATTTATGGCAATTCACAGTTAGGGCGTTGGTCAGCCCAATGCAAATTTAATTTGTTAGCCATGTCGGCAGTGGGAGAACTGGACGACTTACCGGGCTCAAAGCCAAGGGCCAAATAATGCGCGCTTTCTTATCGCATGTCAGCAGCAGCGAACGCGAATCCCTTTCACAGAAAGTCGCACACATGTCCTGACATATCATATCCCTGCCCCGAAGTCCGGCCGAAGCCGAAACTGAAGCCTTACTTGACGCAACAGCAGACCAATAAACAAAAGCATTAAACCCATAAAACAGGGAACATGGCACTCTCGAGAATTAACACTACATTATTCACAATGCAATTTCGAAACAAGTGAAATGGTGCAGCGAAATGGGGGTTCGAAGGGGGAGTACCCAGTGATTTTTCGAAAAACTTTAAAAATTCTAAAGATCTAAATTTAATAAAAATACATAATAATTTCTTTAATCATCCGGTCTTTTGTGAGTTTAAGATGATATGGGATGGAATAGTTTTTAGTAAGCGACGGATAAATAAGAAATATAAAATCTAGAAATAGGAAAAGGTAAATAAATTAACACTAAATGGTATAGGTGTAATATAGTATGTTCCTATATTTAATATAAATTTTAATGTTTTTTGAACAACCAATAAAGAAATATTTTAAGTCATCTCTATAATCGGTATACCCTCTGAAACCCTGTGAAAATTTTATAAAAAATGTTTCAACTCGAAACGGCAACGAATGCGAATGCATATGGATGTGCTGGATAGGATGAGGAGCTCTGGAATGGGTTGCGATGGGTGGGCGTGTGTCTGTCGGAGGAAAAGGGAGTCGGATGAGGAGGGGAAGGGGCTGGTGACCCACATGGATGCCATTGTGGCCGCGCCATTTGCCTCCGAGCGGTCTTTCGCGCTCCGTAGGTGTCTCTCTGTGGGATAGGAGGATCGGGGGACCGGGATTGGTCTGCACCTTTAGCTTTCGCTCCTTTTTTCATTTGTTAAAAATGTGAAAAATTAAAAATATTGTACGCGTGCACACACAACAATGTGCGAGCGTGTCTATATATATTCCCCGATGCTCCGCTGTTTTCCCGTGATACTCTGCCGTGTTCCCTTTTTATGCATATTTCCCACAACACATTTTGGAGCCGAGGCATTCGCTTTTAAATCATCCAAAGGGGGGAGGAGGTGGGATATATATATATAGTTAGTTCGCGGCTGAAGTCGGGCTTATCCCATCAGCAGCATCAGAGGTGCCCGCCCTCCTTTCCCTTTCCCACTGTTGATTTATGTTCAGAGTTTGCGTTCATTTATCATTACAGTTGAAAGCATTGCCGCTTTGTTCCTGTTCTGTTTCTTCCATTTTTATATTTTTCGTTTTTATTTTATTTTTTATTAATGCACAATATGCACAGCAGCCGTGAAAGAATAATACTTTTAATATAAGTTATTTTTTGTGTTTTGCAGGTGCCAAATGTGGTGCTTATCACAGCGATGCTTTTACCATTTACATTTTAAATAACACCATTCGATGGGTTGCCGGGGGAATAAAACAATTGTTTGACTGGGCGCTACAATCATGCAAAGAGATAAAAAAGTATTAAAAGAAAAAACTATTAAAAATCAATAAATCGCTTCCCAATATACGGCTTAATTTAAGCTTTTAAATAAGCTGCTGAAAACCAAATTTAGTCGACTTTAAAGAGCTTGCTTTGCGGCAAAAAATAAACCAAAATGGACTCACTTACAATTTGGATGTTATGGGCCTTTCATCTTTATTATATATATTAAATTAAATATTTATTAAAAGTTCAGCAAGGCAATGATAAATAAAGAAAAATCCTTATTTTTAAATCTCTAAAATAAAAAGCCAGCTCCAACAATGAAAGCAAAATAATTGGTTGACCAAATCCGTAGCTTCCCATAGAACTACAAATGTGCTTTCAAAAATCCTTTTGTAAAAGCTGAATAAAAACATTCTGTCCTCTTCGCAATGCCGCTTAATTAAACTCCTTTGCCAGCAGGAATTTTTAATTCCATAAAAACAAATACCAGTGTTCACCGGAGACAATCGTAAAAGTACAGTGGGCCCTGAACAAACCAACGAACCTCATCAGCCAGTCGGTTGTGTTTGCGCAGCCGTGAGTAAAAAATTCAAAAACATAAACGGAAATTACCACAAAATAGAAACCGCAACCGAAGTCGAAGCCCCGCCACCCAAGCCACCCAGAAACCACTTTTGGTGGCTCCTCCTGCCCCACACACATCCACCATATCCACCGCATTCGGGGTGGTGCAGTGTCCTGGTTCGCTCGTCCTGGATGTTGTTG